CACACATATATATACGTATATAGTAATTGAAATGCATTAGTGAAATAGTGAACTAAACCTGCTTTTTAAAATCTTTCTGAAAGCAAGAGGTTAAAAAGTCTACATAGTAAACCATGGAGAATTACATAAATATACAGATAAGTAGGCTTTTTTTCCCCTTCTCAGAAGAGGAAAAAACATGTATAATTAACTGAATGAATAATTTTGGTGACTTTCATTTTCTGTATGAAGTAGTTTAGAATCTTAGAATTTATTCCTGCATTTGCTTTTTAAACTTTTGTGCAGAGATCATTTCCTCAAAACATCTTAAAGCTTCCGGGAGGAAAGTGTTGATGGGAATGAGGCCCAGGTTCCTTAGCTGTGCAGTGAGCATGTTCGCCTTCCTCCTAGTGAGAGGCAACCTGTCTGTTTTCACAGACCTCATCCCAGTGGGTCGCTTCTGGAAGGGGTGAGCCCCGCTTCTCTCTATCACTGCTGCCTGTTGCTTCGAAGTGGCCCCCTCAGGTTGTTAGGTGCAGGGGTGGGATAGCAGGCCAGCTGTTGAGGGCATGAGGGTTGATGAAGACTGCGGCACAGAGGACTTAGGACTTCAGGCCTTGCACAAGGGTCCTGCAGAGCTACTGGTGAGGGCAGCGTAATCACAGAGTAAGCCCCTCACCTGTGGCTGTGTCCCTGGCCTTTGCCCTCTTTGCAGGAGGCTTGGGGAGCTCAGGGTGCCCCCGAGGTTCAGATTTGGGGTTTGTGTCTGGCCTTCTTGTATATAGTCAGGCGTGGGGGCTCCACTCACCACACGTAGGAGGGGAGGGTCAGCAGGTGTGGGATGGGGCACTGCTAGAGAGGGGCAGAGCGTGAAGTTTTCATAGCCAGAATCACTCTATCACTCCATCTGCACCTATGCAGTGCCCCTCTGTAGATGGCCATTGTCCAGACCCTCAGGCCAGTGCGGACCACATCCTGGTGTGCCGTGGACTCTCAGACCCTCTCACAGCTTCTCCCATGCCACCACTCTGGCAAGTTCAGTACCACTTGCCCCCTGTACTTACCACACTAAACACAACTCTTAGTATCGACAAACAGTTTAATTTGGTCTTTCCAGTGCTGGTATTTGTTTAGTCATAGCTGTGATGCATGGAGTGTTGTTGTTTTTAATTTTTTTTGGAGAGGGGAGTGGGTAGTTAGGTTTATTTATTTATTTATTTTTAGAGGAAGTACTAGGGATTGAACTCAGGACCTTGTGTATGCTAAGCATGCACTCTAACCTCTTGAGCTATACCCACACCCTTGTTGTTTTTAAAACACAGAGTACCTGCTTTTTGTAAAAATTAAACCATTCTTGAGACCTGATTTCTACCATCATCGATTTGTTTTCCCTGTAAATATTTTAGCATTTATCACTAAAATATAAAACTGCTTTAAAAAAAACTCCATAATACCATACTGTTTTTATGTATGAAAAACTGACAGTAATTGCTTAATATCTCAAAATATTCAGTGTTAAATTTTCAGTCATCATAATTCTTTGGTTGTTGTTTACTTGAATCAGGACTCAAAGTCCCACACTGAGCTTAGCTAATTTGTCTCTTAAATTTCTTTTAATTTATAGCTTCCCCTTCATCTTTATTTTCCTCTTGCATCTCTGTGGAGTCATGTAACATGCTCCTCTCCCCTCTGTATGTCTTGAAAATTATGAGTTGGGTATGTTGGGTTGATCATATAGGTTCATTCCTTTCACACCAAAGACTGGTGTGTGTGGTGTGTTCTTCATTAGAAAGTATGTAACATCGAGTCATCTCTTCCTCTGTGATGTCAACAGCCCTTTATAGCTGTAATGGCCTAGATCCATTAATTCATTAGAGGATGCAGAATTATCATAGTCCAGTTCTCTCATTCTTGAGCTGGAATTCTTTTAAAGAGAAACTTTCCCTTAGCCACTATTTGGTTATTAGTGGTATCAATTGTGGAGGAAAAACAGGATAAATACTTGCTTCTTTCCCCCTTTATTTGCCGCTTTTGAAAAGCATCTCCTCCAATGATGACCAATTCATCAAAAACACTATTACCCCACCTCATACCGTACACAGAAGTTAACTTGGATAGATCAGAGATCTGAATATAGGACCTGAAATTCTTACACTCTTGGAAGAAAGCATAGGAGTAAATCTTCATGACCTTGGGTTAGGCCATGGTGTCTTAGATACAAGACCAAAAATACAAGCAAGAGAACAAGTTTTAAAACTTTTATGCTGTGATTTACCATTAAGAAAATGAAAAGACAACCCATGGGGTTGAATAGGAAAAAATATTTTCAGATCATGTATCTAATAAGGGACTTATATGCAGAATATAAAAGGAACTCATAACAACAACAACAACAAAAAATATTTTTAATGGACAAAGGTCTGAATAGATATTTCTCCAAAGAAGATAAATGGCCAGTAAACACCTGAAAAGATGCTTAATATCATTAGGGAAATGCAAGTCAAAACCACAGTGAGAC